GTCTGCCCACCCTCCTTTATTGAGAACATTGAGAAATGAATAGTAGATAGGGTGGTGGAGGGTTGCGAATGAAAGAAGAGCTAAATCAAATGGAACAATTCAAATCCATTATCTTCTCCGAGAACTTAAGGAATAATTTTACTGCAAAAAAGTCATGAAACAATGGTTCAACCAAGAAGCTCTAAAACAGTTCAGTGAGCAATTTTTTCCCTTTAACTAAATTAATAATTTGCACATATTTTACAATTTTACAAATTTTCTGTTTACTTGGTGTGAAGAGCTTGTTTGTAAATATAGTTGACAAGGTCTAAGGACATAGGATGTTATTAATGTGGGCAGACAGATTTATCAGAACAAATTAAGGAGAAGGGTTTATTTTGCTCATTATTTCTAATGAATTTGTGTATGAGGACTAAGCTATTCTGCTTGATTCTTAAGTTTAGCCTGTAGATAATAAATAAATATAGTGCAATTTTAAAAGCATAATTTAATTTTATTTCTATTCATGTCATGTTATATATAATTTGGATTGCATTATAATAATTTATAAGTGCACAGGGAGAAATTTGCAAAACCTACTGAACAGAGCAGAATAGCGCTGAGGCCACATAAACAAATTTGTTAAATGGAGTACATAGGGCAGAATAACCCCCAAGTGATTCACGATCTGGTATGTAATTACATAGAAATGTCCAAAATTAACAAGCCTCAGTTGGGACTAGAGATAATAGTTTCCTCTTGTCGGGTAGTCGTTATTTGGAATAGATTTCTAGTACTGGATCATACTTTGCATGAATTTTTTTTTAAAAAAAGGAAAATAAGTGTCTGACACTCATCGCTATGCTTAGGTGTATCTAAACCAGACTGAGAGTTCCACGTATGCATTCCACCTATTCATGGATACTTCCCTGTCTCCAGAATGGAATGTGCACTCTCTCTCTGGATGGAAACAGTCTATTTATCTAATTCTGGAAAGTATTAGATGCAAGTTGGCAAGAGACAATGTTTGGGGACCCCAAAGTTGGTTAAACTGATTGAGTTTAACCAACCAAGCTTTCTGCTGTTACTCTACCTAAGTCAATACCGCTTGATAGGGCTTTGGCTTTCCAGTCTAAGAAGAGCCAAGTTATATCAATAACACAGTCTGGCAAGCTTTCTGCTGGTGTAATGTTGCCCCACCTGGCTGGTATTCATCCTGCATTCTGTTGCCTGGTATTTCACCTTGTAGCCAGCTCAGGTCTGAGGAGACCTTACTGATCTCCCCCAAGGCTTTAAGTGGAGGGACTGTGGCATGGAGTTCCAGAGGGTGGGGGCAGAGTGGCAGAAGGCCCTCCCGTCAATGGTGGGGTGGGCGAGGTGGGGGACATGAAGCAGGCCAGAACCCGCTGGGCGGAGGGAGCATGCAGCAGGATAGGGGGTTAGGAGGTTGCAAAGGTAGGGGGGAGCATGACCATGGAGGGCTTTGAAGGTGAGGTCCAGGATCTTGAACTGTATCCTCTGTGTGATGGGAAACCGGTGGAGTCAGGCGAGGATGGGTGTGATAGGGACACGGAGCCTGGTGCAGGAGAGGACACGGGCTGCAGAGTTCTGGATGATCTGTAGCCTATGGAGGGAGGAGTTGGGGAGGCCAACAAGCAAGGACTTTGCATAGTCAATCACGATCCATAGATGCACACTCCACCTTACTAAGCCAATCTGGAACCTTAATAATAATAATAATAATCCTTGCATTTGATATAGCGCTTTTCACGTCGGGAGGACGTCCCAAAGCGCTTCACAGAACACACTGTAAAGTGAATTGACTGTATATTTGTGGGCGAACGCGGCAGCCAATTGCGCACAGCAATGTCCCACAAACTGTCATGGATTGAAAATGACCAATTTATTATTGTTTTTTTTTTGGAGGGATTATTATTAGGCGTGTGGAGTAAGGAAACTTGCCCAAGGTTTCACCCTGACCTGCCTGGAATTGAATTCAGGTCTCTCGCTTGCAAAGCGAGTGCTCTAACCACTGAGCTACAGGACTCCACCTTGAGTTCTTATTTGATCCTCAACTATCCTTTCTGCCCCACATCCATGCCATTAACCTGTTCTACCTTCCCCCACCTCTGCAATATTGCCCGGCTCCACCACTGTCTCACACCACAGGCCGCACCTCACACCCACATTCATTACATCGAGGCTTGACTATGCAAACTCCTTGCTTTGTCTTCCTCCCCAACGCCTCCCTCCATATGCTGCAGATCTTTTTGATACTCTTAAGCAGAGTAATGGGTTTCCGCATATATCAGATACTTGGTTGACCAAAACAAAATATGTGATTTGAATGCATTAATAATCTTTGAATAACTGAACTAAAAAAGTATAAAGGGCAATGTCAATAATTGCAAGTACATGGCATTGCTTGAATCTTGTAGTGTGTTTTAAATTTTAAATATTTCAATGAAGTGGGTCATAAATTACATCTTAAGTGTATGAAACAGCTTTGTAATACTATACAGATATTATAAAAATGAAAACATCTCCAATGGCTTAGTGGGTTTATCTAGTGCAGAGCTCAGGCACACAGAGTAGGAAGGCCGAAGTTTCAATTCCTAATCAAGTGCAAGGCCAGCAGTAGGCACCAATTGATCTGCCTGTGGACAGCAAAACCAACCAGGCTCCCAATTCTTGATCACTACCCAATGATCTTGTTGGAAATGCATACATGAAGATAAGATCATGCTTGGTTGTAAAGCCCCCAAAGTTCAGATTCACACATGAAAAAAGGCCACTTGGGAAAGCTATTGAAGAGCAGCCAGTGAATGTGGATCTGCATCCCAGTACAAATCTGCAAGAGAGGATGATTCTTTTTGTGATTGGAAGGAGGGACTTACAAGCTGGAAAGAAAATTAGGAAATCTACAACATGGGGAAGTAGATTTAAGGAAGTGGCAAGATATTCTGCCAAACATCCATTTTTTTTGAAGGGTAAGGTGTTAAAATGTGATGGTTGTTAGAGGGGGTACGGACCTAGCAAGTTGTTTTTGATTAAACATCATGAGATAAAATGTTCATTTATTTTCTGCTTTTAAATCCTGACTAGTTTAGTTGGTTACCTTCCTGGGAAGTAAAGAGAAAGATTCCTGGGTTCGATCCCTGGCAAGGTGAAATGTTGGGCAAGTTTCCTTTACTCCACACACCTCTGTGTATTGCTTTCCTGGGGGTAATAATTCCTTCAAAAAAAATTGTTACTTCAATCCACGACTGCTTGTGGGACACCGCTGTGCGCAATTGGCTGCCACGTTTCGCCTACAAAGTATACAGTCAACTCACTTTACACTATATTCTGTGAAGCACATTGAGACATCTCAACTTCACGATAAGGCGCGATATCAAATGCAATATAATAAGATGAGCAGGGTCTCTTTATAATAATAATAATAATAATAATCCTTGCATTTGATATAGCGCTTTTCACGTCGGGAGGACGTCCCAAAGCGCTTCACAGAACACACTGTAAAGTGAATTGACTGTATATTTGTGGGCGAACGCGGCAGCCAATTGCACACAACAATGTCCCACAAACAGTCGTAGATTGAAAATGACCAATTTTTTTTATTTTGTTTTGGAGGGATTATTATTAGGCGTGTGGAGTAAGGAAACTTGCCCAAGGTTTCGCCCTCTGCCTGGAATTGAACTCAGGTCTCTCACTTGCAAAGCGAGTGCTCTAACCACTGAGCTACAGGACTCCACTCTTTGGGGTTGAGTTAGCTCCAAGGAGCCGGTCAGTGTAACATTGGAATCGAGTCAATCCTCTGTGGCTACCCCAGTCGTCCAGTTCCTGAGCCAAGCAGGTCTGCACTCCAAAGCACCGGCTTATTGCCAGGAACCGGAGAAGCAAAACAATCAGCAAAGCCTGGGATTCTTCCCCTTAACTCCTATTAATAGGCAAGGTGGATCTAGCTGGACGAGCTCATGTTAGAAACGTCACAAAAACTTGCGGAGGGTGACCAGATGCCACAAATAACTTCAGTGGCAACCCGATGACCTGGAAGCGGGCGATAATTTTTTTTAAAAAAAAAAACCCCAACCCTTTCTAAGCCGATTTCCCGGGGGTAACAATTTTACTGCGTTACGACGAAGTCCGCATTGACGGGGGCCGTCTTACAATTGATCAAGGTTAAAGGATCTCGGTGGGTTCCTCGATGATTCGGGGTCCGCAAAAACGAGAAGCGGAAAGTAATCCTTTTAGCAGGAGAGAGAGGGGGGAAAAAAAATCGTGACAATTGGAAGCAGAATCAATAGGATGTCAATTATTTTTTTGTGTGTGTGGGTAAGAGAGGAGAGAGAGAGAGAGAGAAAGAGATGATTGAGTTGGTGGAGGCAATGCCAAAAGGCAAACCTGCAGTAAATGAAGGGTATGGGATGACCCCACAGTGGAGCAGTTTGTCTGGTCATCAACCAATTGGTGGTGTAAAGACACACGCGTGTGTGTGTGTGTGTGTGTGTGTGAAAACCAACCCCTCCTCCTCTCCCCCACCACCACCACCTCCACACAAAACAAGCGCTTGAGGACGCCCCCTCTACCCCCCCCCTCCCACACAGCTGAACAAAATACATGCGGTGCTATCTCTTTCTTTCAGAGACGCCGATCGACTTGCTCCTGGTGTTCCCTTCTCCTGGTATCTGGGGGAGTGAGTGAGTGGGTGGGTCGGGGGTGACTTATTTACTTACTTACTTACTTACTCACTTGGCACTTGTGTCGCGGCTCCTTTAAGAAGAGCAGTGCGTGTGTGTGTGTGTGTGAGTGAGTGAGTGAGTGAGTGAGAGTGAGGACGAGGGAGAGCCACGTTTCCAGGCGAGTGGCGGCGGCGGCGGAAAGAGAAGCGAGAGAGTGGAGTACAGTGTGTGCGGTCGGTCGGTCAGTCAGTCAGTGTCGGGCCCGGGCCCTGGTCCTCCTGAAGTGAAGGCAGAAGCCAAGGGGGGGGGGAGGTGGGGAGAGCTTCTGCTGCTGCTGTTGTCGCTGCTGTTGCCGGTGCCGCCGCCGCCGCCATGGCCGCGCGAGGCGGGCGGTTGGGACGGTTGGTCGCGGCGGCGGCGCTGCTCGTGCTGCTGACGTGCGGCCGCTGCTCGGCGAGTTGGGACCTCGAGCTGTTCGACCTGGTGGAGGAGGTGCCGCGCGACTTCTACAGCTTCCTCGACATCAAGCAGGTGAGGGAGGGAGGGGGGGAGGGGGTGCACAACACTGTGTGTGTGTGTGTGTGGGGGGGGGGGGGAAGAGAGAGAAAAGACCCCCTCCTCCTCCCCAAACTCCCTCCTTCTCCCTCTTCTCTCTGCCCTCCTTCTCCCTCCTCCCCCCCCCCTTTAGTTACCAATCCATCGTCAATCAATTGCTTATTGCCTTCAGATCAAGTCCCCCGTCCCCGTCCCCCCCACCCAGGTTAGGAGTTCACCCACGGCTCGTTTGGCTGTGGCGGATGGCAGGGCTGCCGAGGCCTAGTTGCTGCTGCTGCTGCTGTTTTTTTTGGGGTGTGTGTGTGTGTGTATGGGGGGGAAGGTGGTGCTGGTGGTTGCTGTCTGTTTGCCGGTAACACTGATAAATGTCGTCGTCGTCGTCGTTCATCTCTTCCCGGTTTGTTTGCTGAAGGGAGAGGACGGTTTTTACGGCCCTTTTCCTCTCTGTCTCGACTGACTGACTGACTGACTTGGTCCCATGTTTTTAAAGCCGTTTCCCCCCACACACCCCCCACACACACACACACACACTGTCTGTGTCTGTCTGTGTGTGAATTTTCACCGGTTCAGTCGTACCCTTTTTTTTTGAGGGGGGGGGGTTAAAAAAAATTAAACATATCTTTTTGGGGGTTAAAAAAAATGAGAGCGAGAGAGAGAGAGAGAGGGAAAGAGTTTCTTTTCCCACTTCCCTCCCCCCCCTCTCCAAAAAAAAAACACTTCAGTTATTTGAGAGATTGGACGGGATCCCAAGCAAAGAAAATTTAAAGTGGTGTTGGAAGTGACTAAAACTCCTGGTGGTGAGGTCGTGATGTGTGTGGTGGGTGGGGAGGGGGGAGGGGGAGGGGGAGGTGAGGGGCACTCGAGGTGTGTTGGCAGCTTTCAACACGGATTTAAGTTTCAAATCTAATGTTTTAAAACGGCAGTTATATTCAGGGTAAACGAGGCGGATGTTTTGCTTTCTGGTTTCCATGCAGACTGGTTATTACAGAGAGAGCTGTTTGTTGCCACACAGCACAGTCATTGTAATAACTGTTAAGATGCCGCTGCCTCTTATGAACTCAAGGATTCAGTTAAGTAATCAATCAACTACTGAAATGTCAGTTTTTTTTAGGTAGATTTGTCCCATGCTTTCTTTTGTTCCGTGAAGTTAGTGGGGGTTGACCATTGAATGGCGGCGCGCGTTTGCGATTGGCGAAGGGGGGGTTGGAAATTGCAGCATTTTCTTTTAAGTTGTCCTTGGTTTTCTTTCGGATGCGTACACATTTCCCGGCTGACTGATCGCTGCTCACCCCACTTCTTTCTCGGTTGACAGAAGGCGCAGAGGAATGTAACAGGGATAATTTCCACCCTTACCGAAGCGCGCGAACCACTACGCTTCACCTCCTCGCAATGCTGCTGCTGGGCTCAAATTGTCATTGCTGCTGTTAAAGGCATAAATGTGATTGCTGCTGTTGTACTGCTCATTAATATATGGTGTTTGAATTTATGGTGCTGTAAAAGAATGGGATTTCCCCTCTTTTGGTCATCTTCATTTTCATGGATCGCTTTTATTGACCAATTGTGATTATCAAAGTTTACATCATATTACTTAAATATCAATTTACAATGACCAGTACAGAGATCTATTAGTTATAGTCATCAAATGCAGTCATTGTTTTTTTACAATAAACTAAAGCTGTGAGACTGCAGACATATTACATGGGGTTAGGGTTACAAAGGGCAATTTCATGTTAGGCGTCAGGAAGTACTATACCGCAATAGAAATCCTTAATCCAAGTACTACTTCACGGCTAAGTTAAACTCTTGCCTCGGAGTTTTCCTTCATAGAATATTAATAAAAACTATCAATACAATGAATCTATTCAGAGATATAATGAAAAACTCTAGCGGTTTCCTCCCCTTCTCTATTATACTGTGGATGAAGGAATCCCTACACACATCAATGAACAGTTTGCAATCTGCTTATACAATGATGAAGTTGTGAAAATAATTTCCCCATGTTTTTAATTCTTCAGGTTCCAATGAAATTAATTTACGAAGGAGTTGGAACATCTTTGTGTAGTTATTACTCCTTAAATTAAAAAAATTACTGTTTCCATAATAAGTTGTGATTGAAATTACCCCCGTGGGCATTAATTGCATTTGGTTCTGGTTTATTGAGTCCATTTCCAGTCCTACCTGGAAAGCTTTCCCACTGCTTGTGCAGCGAGGACCACTCCTACCTGTTTGAACTTCAGCTTGCAGGGTTAACGGGAGCGGAGTGGGAAAAGCCCCTGCTCTCAGTGACTGGTCTGCCCTTATTCAGCCACTAAATATATTTATAATAATAATCATCCTTGCATTTGATACAGTGCCTTATTACGTCTTCGAGATGTCTCAAAGTGCTTCATAGAATTTACTGTAAAATGAATTGACTATTTTGTGGGTGAAATGCAGCAGCTAATTGCGCACAGCAATGTCCCACAAAGAGTCGTGGATTGAGTGACCAAATTTTTTTTAAAGCAGTTATTACCCCCGGAAAAGCAATACACCAATCAACTAACAACCAGGCTCCTATTTACTACTAGGTAAACAGAAGCGTGTAGAGTAAGGAAACTTGCCCAACATTTTGCCCTACCCGGGAATCAAACCCTTATTTGTAAGGAACTAATGTATTTGCAAGGATTCACTATACTTGATGCACATCATAAATACATTTTGTTTATAATTGGAAAAACAAAATTCCATTGTAATTTAAATATTTGTTTTCTGTGCAGTAGAATTCCTCATACCATTTTGGTCATGACAAATAGCCTTTCATTATGAAACGATGTTAGTGTTCAGTATTGTGTTTGCGAACAGATTAAGCAACACTGTAACAGAACTTAATGGTATAATACTGTGGTAAAGGATTGGCAACCTCTTTCCCCTGGGAATACAACTGTAATGGTTATTGCATGTACATGGCTGTCTCAGCAAACCTACCACACGGATTCCCAAAGCAATTTGGTTAGTTGATTAATTTTTGAAATATAATTTTCAAAAATATTTTCAACTTCTCACCAAAAACAACTTGAATTTATATAACACCTTTCACACATGGCAGCATCTCGGAGTTCTCATCATTGTTGAGTGGATTTTTCTAAATATTGTTTAAAATGATAACTTGGGGAAAGGTTTACTTGTTTGATGTAAGCAGTTATCTATCAAGGGCCCTTTGCAGAGTTTTTTTAAATGTGGAACTGATGCATAGGGCCTGGATTAAGTTCACTTGCCTGCTTACCTAATTCCAGAAAGAAGTAGGTGCACGTTGGCAAAAAACACAATTTTGGGCTCCCCAAAGTGTGCTTTGGAGTACTGCTGCAGTTTAACCATGTAAAATCACATAGATTGCCATTGCAAATTGACTGGCAAACTTCTCTGTACCTGTCTTGCCTGGACTGCGCTTCCAGTTAGGGCTTTGGCTTACAGAAATAACAAGAGCTGAGTGGTGGGGGTGGGGTGTGGTGAGGGGAAATCCTCTCCCAAATGATTGCTTTCTTCCAAGTCCTGATGATGAGGAGGTGGATGGTGGGGTAAGCTGGATTCCTTGGAGCTCAACTGGCCTCAAGGTGACTTGTTTGACAAAGGAATATCTGAATCCAGTCGATCTTCTGTGACTTTCTCAGTAGTCTGGTTCCTCAGCCAGACAAGTCTGCAGTTCTCCAGGGCTAAAACCACATGGCTTACCATTGAAAGCACCATCTGGCAAGCTTTCCTCTGCTTATCCAGCTAGGACCACCCTACCACTTAGAGATAGTTTCAGTGAGTTTCGCACCAACCCTCACATGGAGAGCTGGAGTATACATCCTGGATAAAATCCAAGTCTTGTACTCCCATAGCTTTCAGGTTCTCCATGAGGACTTTATGAGGCATTGGGTCAAAAGCTTGCGTGAATTGATTCCTGCAATGTAGGTGGGTTTCCCCATTACGAGTTCTGTGATCTTGTATCTGTATGAGGGTTGATGGGATTATAAATGCCAGCATATTGACTGTTGGGAAGCCATATGACAGATTGTACCTAGACTTCCAAAAGGTGTTTGACATGAAAGATTCTTTCACAAACTGATATTCACTGGGTATCAAGGGTAACACATAGACATTGATTCAACATTGGTGGAAGGAAATACAGAAGGTTGTTGCTCGGGAAGCTAAGTCAAAATGGGGGAGGTAATAAGTGATGTACCTCCAGGTCTGCACTTATTAAAACCATGTGAAGCAACAAAAATAAGCTCAATAGGATGCTTGCCAAATTAGCTGAGGTCAGAGTCCAGACCTCCAGAAGACTTCCTGAAGTTGTATATTGCTATAGTCAGGTCATATGTAGAATACTGCGCACAATTCTCGTCACTATGACAAAAGGAGGCTGTTCGGGCCTTAGAGGCTGTGCAGAGGAGAACAACAAGGATAAACCATGGCGTTAGAGGAATAATAATAATAATCCTTGCATTTGATTTAGCGCTTTTCACGTCGGGAGGACGTCCCAAAGCGCTTCACAGAATATACTGTAAAGTGAATTGACTGTATATTTGAGGGCGCACGCGGCAGCCAATTGCACACAGCAATGTCCCACAAACAGTCGTAGATTGAAAATGACCAATTTATTATTGTTTTTGGTTTTGGAGGGATTATTATTAGGCGTGTGGAGTAAGGAAACTTGCCCAAGTTTCGCCCTGACCTGCCTAGAATTGAACTCAGGTCTCTCGCTTGCAAAGCGAGTGCTCTAACCACTGAGCTACAGGACTCCACAAATGACCTATGGTTAATAATTAGACAGTCTTGGAAGGTCTTTCAGAGGGGTCTTTATACAACAACAAGAATACATTTGTATAGGGCCTTTCACGTCAGGAGGATGTCCCAAGGCGCTGGACAGTGTACAACATTTCAGACCCAGGAAGGGAGAAAGGGGAGAAAGGGAAGTTGACCGATGACATGGTCAAAGAAGAGGGTTTTGAAGT